TTGTTGAAGCTGAATTATAGCTTGTAGCCGGTGTCCGCTTATGAGAAGGTAGACAGTTGCACATATAAATTAATAATTTATTATATTTCTTTCAAGTTTACGAACCGTGCCTAATCTTTGGAAGCGTAGAAAAAATTAATATTGAAATTAAATTTGAAATATTGAAAAAACAATAAAAATTGCGGGAAACCTGTTAATTTGTCGTGAAGTTTGACGTGGAACTTTTTCAACCAAGTAGCATGATTTTTTTGGAAGTTTTTTTTCAAATTATCATAATCAATAAGAGTTCTTAGCAGTAAAAGTTAAATTATAGCTTGTAGTCCGTGTCGGTTTATTAGAAATTTGATATTTGTACATATAAATTAATAATTTTTCTATAATTCTTTCAAATTTCAGGTCTGTGCTCAATCTTTTGAAGCGTGTTCTCTGGAACACTTGGATAAAAAAATTTGCATATTGAAATAGAAATATTGAAATATCAATAAAAATTGCAGGAAACGCGCTAATTTGCTGCGCAGTTTGAAAAGAACTATTTTTATCGAAGAGCATGAATTTTTTGGAAGTTTTTGTCAAATGATCGTAATCAATAAGAGTTTTAAAGCTGAATTACAGCATGCAGCCGGTGTCCGCTTATGAGAAGTTAGACAATTGACGACATAAATTAATACTTTTTTATCTTTCTTTCAAGTTTAGGAATTACGCCTAATCTTTTGAAGCGTGTTCCCTGGAACACTTGGATATAACATTTTTGTCATCGTATATTTTTTTCTCTTCTCTACAGATTTCATCTGAAAAAATCAGTATAAATTGCAAGAAACGTGCTAATTTGCTGTGCAGTTTGTCATGGAACTTTTTCATGGAAGTAGCATAATTTTTTTTAGTTTGTCGTAAAATACTCTAATCGATAAGTGATCATTGCTGTTGAAGCTGAATTATAGCTTGTAGCTTATGTCCGCTTATGAAAAGTTAGACAATTTTTCGCAAAAAGTAATAATTTACTATAATTCTTCCAAGTTTCAGGTCTGTTCATTGGAACACTCGGATAAAAAGTTTTGAATTTGAAATATTGACATATCAATAAAAATTTCAGGAAACGCCCTAATTTGCCGTGTAGTTTGAAATGGAAATTTTTTATGGAAGTAGCATAATTTTTTTTACTTTGTCTTAAAATAATCATAATCTATAATAGCTATTGTTGAAGCTGAATTACAGCCGGTGTACATATAATAATCGACTATATTTCTTTCAAGTTTACGAACCGTGCCAAATCTTTGGAAACGTAAAAAATGAATTTGAAATATTGAAAAAACAATAAAAATGGCAGGTTTCCTAATTTGTTAATGTGCGGTGCAGTTTGACGTGGAACTTTTTCGTAGAAGAAGCGTAATTTTTTTTAGTTTGTCTAAAAAAAATATTCATAATGTATTTTCATTATCCAATCATTTCATTATTCAGTTTATTGCTGTTGAAGCTGGCTTGTAGCCGGTGTCCGCTTATGAGAAGTTAGGCATTTGTATATATCAATTAATAATTTACTATGTTTCTTTCAAGTTGACGAACTGGGCCTAATTTTTGGAAAAAAAAATATTGAAATTGAATTTGAATTTTTGAAAAATCAAGACAAATTGCATTAAACGTGTTTGGAAGTTTTTTTTCAAATGATCATAATCAATAAGAGTCTTTAGCAGTAAAAGCTGAATTATAGCTTGTTGTCTTTGTCGGTTTATGAGAAATTTGTACCTATAAATTAATAATTTACTATAATTCTTTCGTGTATCAATTCTGTGCTCAATCTTTTGAAGCGTGTTCTCTGGAACACTTGGACATAAAATTTTTGACATCGTTTATTCTTTCTCTTCTCTACAGAAATTCCATCTGAGAAAATCAATAAAATTGCCAGAAACGTGCTAATTTGCTGTGCAGTTTGACGCTGAACATATGCATCGAAGTAACACGATTTTGTTTGAAATTTTTTTTTTCAAATGTTCATATTCAATAAAAGTTCTTATCAGTTAAAGCTGATTTACAGTTTGTAGCTTCTGTAGTAGCTCTTGTAGCTTATGAGAACTTTCATAATTGTACATATAATAAATAATGTCCTATAACTCTTTTTCTCTCCTATAAATCATCAACTCTCAAATTTAACGTCCTGGGCTTAATCTTTTGAAGGGTGTTCACTGGAACACTTGGACAAAAAAGATTTGAATATGAAATATTGAAAAACCAATAAAAATTTCAGGACAAGCGCAAATTAGTTGTGCGGTTTGGCATGGAACTTTTTCATGAAAATAGCATAATTTTTTTAGTTTGTATAAAACGCTCGTAATCTATAATAGTTTATGCTGTTGAAGCTGATTTATAGCTTGTAGCCGGTGCCCGCTTATGAGAAGTTAGACAATTGGATTTTTTTTTTTTTTTTTTTTTTTTTTTTTTTTTTTTTTTTTTTTTTTTTTTTTTTTTTTTTTTTTTGAAATTAATAATTTACTATGTTTCTTTCAAATTTACGAACTATGCCTAATGTTCGGAAGCGTAAAAAAATTGAATTTATTGAACATGAAATTGTTCATCAAAGAGCATGAATTTTTTGGAAGTTTTTTTAAATGATCGTATTCAATCAGAATTCTTTGCTGTTGAAGCTGAATTACAGCTTGCAGCCAGTGTCCGCTTATGAGAAGTTAGCCATAGTTCATATAAATTAATGGTTTAATATATTTCTATCATGTTTAGGAACTGTGCCTAATCTTTTGAAGTGTGTTTTCTGGAACACTTGGATAAAAAAAATGTTGACTTCGTATTTTTTATCTCTTCTCTACAGAACTTTCATGTGAGAAAATCAATAAAAATTGCCAGAAACCTGTTAATTCGCTGTGCAGTTTGAGATATTCATCGAAGTAGCATGATTTTGTTTTGAAGTTTTTTTTGCAAATGATCATAATCAATAAGAGTTTTTAGCAGTAAAAGCTGAATTATAGCTTGTTGTCTGAGTCGGTTTATGAGAAATTTGATATTTGTACCTATAAATTAATAATTTACTATAATTTTTCATGTACCAGTTCTGTGCTCAATCTTTTGAAGCGTGTTCTCTGGAACACTTGAACATAAAATATTTGACATCGTTTAATTTTTCTCTTCTCTACAGAATTTTCATCTGAGAAAATCAATAAAAATTGCCAGAAACCTGTTAATTTGCTGTGCAGTTTGACATGGAACATATTCATCGAAGTAGTATGATTTTGTTTGGAAGTTTTTTTTTTTCAAATGATCATAATCAATAAGAGTTCTTATCAGTTAAAGCTGATTTACAGTTTGTAGCTTCTGTCCGCTTATGAGAACTTTCATAATTGTACATATAATAAATAATGTCCTATAACTCTTACAAATTTAAGGTCCTGTGCTCAATCTTTTGAAGGGTGTTCAATGGAACACTTGGACAAAAAAAATTTGAATTTGAAATATTGAGAAACCAATAAAAATTTCAGGACAAGCGCAAATTTGTTGTGCGGTTTGGCATGGAACTTTTTCATGAAAATAGCATAATTTTTTTAGTTTGTATTAAAATACTCGTAATCTATAAGAGTTTATGCTGTTGTAGCTGAACTTTTTCAACGAAGTAGCGTGATTTTTGTTTTTTGAAATTTTTTTTTTTAAATGATCATAATCAATAAGAGTTCTTAGCAGTAAAAGCTGAATTATAGCTTGTAGTCTCTGAAGGTTAATGAGAAATTTGATATTTGAGCGGATAAATTAATAATTTACTATAATTCTTTTAATGCTTTCCAATTTACGGCTGTGCCAAATTTTTTGAAGCGTGTATACTCTGGAACACTTAGCTAAAAAATTTGAATAACGAAATTCAATTTGAAATATTGAAAAATCAATCAAAATTACTGAAAACGCGCTAATTTGCTGTGCATTTTGACGTGGAAATTTGCCATCAAAGAGCATGAATTTTTTGGAATTTTTTTTTTGAAATGATCGTAATCAATAATAGTTCTTTTGAAAATGAATTACAGCTTACAGCCGGTGTCAGCTTATGAGAAGTTAGCCATAGTACATACAAATTAATAATTTACATTTATTTCAAATTAAGGAACTGTGCCAAATCTTTGAAAGCGTAAAAAAATTGAATATTGAAAGTGATTTTGAAATATTAAAAAATCAAGAAAAATTGCAGGAAACGCGCTAATTTCCTGTGCTGAATTGAATTTTAGCTTGTAGCTTCTGTTCGTTTATGAAGAATTTGATAATTGTACATATAAATTAATAATGTACGACAATTCTTACAAGTTTAAGGTCTGCGCCCCATCTTTCGAAGCTTGTTCACTGGAAATTTTCAGGAAATGCGCTCATTTGCTGTGCAGTTTGACATTGAACTTTTTCATGGAAATAGCATAATTTTTTTTTAGTTTGTCTTAAAATACTCGTAATCTAGAAGAGTTTATTGCTATTGAAGCTGATTTATAGCTGGAAGCTGGTGTCCGCTTATGAGAAATTAGACAATTGTGCATACAAATAAATAATTTACTATATTTTTTTTCAAGTGTAGGAATTGCGCCTAAACTTTTGAAGTGTGTTTTCTGGAACACTTAGATATAACATTTTTGACATCGTATGTTTTTTCTCTTCTCTACAGAAATTTCATCTGAAAAATCAATAAAATTGCCAGAAACGTGCTAATTTGCTGTGCACTTTGACATTGAACATATTCATCGAAGTAGCATGATTTTGTCTGGAAGTTTTTTTTTTTCAAATGTTCATAATCAGAAAGATTTCTTTGCAGTTGAAGCTGAATTATAGCTTGTAGCTAGGAATGAGCTAAATAGAAAATAACTAGAAATTTAGAAATGTTAATGAGTGGGTCGCAGCGGTTCATTTATTGCCATCGAACTCCTTGCCAACATGTGCCAAATTTTATTTTCAGCGTTAAATAATCAATAAAACAAAAGGTCCTATAATTACCGGTAAATCCAACAATAATCCTTTTTATTAATCCTCCTTACCGGAATCGAAAATGCGCAAATCGTCCATTATCCGAGACGTTTTCGCCTATCTGTCACCGGCGGGTCCCGCTCCGTTTGGCTCTGCTGCTCATTCCAGCCGTACTAAATCACTGGTTGTGGCCAAGACCACTCCAAAGTGGGGGCGGAGACCTCGGGCCCCAGGAGATAATAAGAAAAACAAGAACATTGAAATAGCGCAGAAGCACAACATGAAATGTTCTTTAAAGGAAAGAGACCGCGGATCTGATTTATTCATGTCTAACCCCAAAAAAACGACAACCTAAAAACAAGTGTTTCGCCGTTTGACTGATCGATAGTTCGTGCTCCCTTGAAAGACAAGGCGGCTCACGCCAGTCCGCGTGCCGCCAAAATTGGTGACCTGCTTATTTATTTATTTTTATTTCCACTAATTTAAGGTCGAGCATCAAAGTAATTAAAAAGATTCCTTTTGCCTTCCTAAATTATTATGTCATTATATAAATAACCCTTTGAACTCTCTTATAGAAAGAACATATTTTAATATTTCTGGCCAAAGAATGTTCACAAGGAATAAATAACAAAGATCACAGGGGTTCAACCATTGAAAAAAGGAAAAAAGGAGGGAAAATTCAAAAGGTGGGGTTGAGATGGGAAGTTAGTGTCCGAGCGGGTCGCGGTCACGATAGCTCAAGTGGTAGAGCAGCGGCGTATCAAGCCGAAGATCGTGACACTGACTTTTTTATCTCAACTAAAAACCTTAATTAATTGAATGGTATTAATTGGTCAAGCGGACCACGAAAAATAGGGAATTAAACTTAATTTTACAACCTTGTTTTCCATCTAGTTAATTAAAAAAATTCAAAATGCCTACGAATAGCAAGGAAGTAGCAATGGTACCTACAAAAAACATTGTTAAGAAATTCAATTAATTAAGTTTTTAGCTGAGATAAAAAAGTCAGTGTCACGAGCGGGATTCGAACCCACGACCTTCGGCTTGATACGCATCTACTCACTTGTCACTCTACCACGAAGGTCGTGGGTTCGAATCCCGCTCATGACATTGACTTTTTTATCTCAACTAAAAACCTTAATTAATTTAATGATATTAATTGTTCCAGCGGACCACGAAAACTAGTGAATTCTTAAGAAACAAAAACATCCTACCTCCCTACTTCGTTGAGAATTATCTATAACTTGATTTTCGGTTCTTCCTCTCCCTCTCACTCTCTCTCTCTCTCTCTTTCTCTCTCTCTCTCTCTCTCTCTCTCTCTCTCTCATCCTTATTGTCTATATTATATCCTAGTTTCCAAGTTTACAATTCCACCTGCCTGTTTTAGAGTAAGTGTGTTGCACAAGGAACAGTCCTTAGCCCTATCATATTTTCTATTTACACAGTCATACTAAATAAACATACTTTCAGACTAAATAAAATTCTCATAATTTGCGGGCATTACAATATATATAAAGGGGAAAAGGGAGACTGTAAAAATAACTATCTATCATATCTAGCAAAGCTCGTCAATTTGGGATATGAAGTCAAAACTACTCTGGAACTGCGTAAATTCCCTAAAAAACTGTGCTTAATCAAGCTATGGTGAGTCATAAGTGTTGAGGATATTTCAGGCAGCGAGGCAATAGAAACCCAAATCAAAAAATGGTCCCTCGAGACGACAAACAGGCTTTAAATTTTTTGTGTTAAATGTCGGAAATTAGATACAGTATTATCGATTTATCAGAGAACACAACAAGTACTAGGAATCCATCATAGGATAGCGAAAAGACGCAAAATCAACTCAACGAGAAAACGAGAAATTCAAATGAAAGGTGCTAAATGTCACAAAAAATATATTTTTGTGGCCATGATTCATTAAAAACCCGTGTAAAAATGGGGCAATCTAGAGATGATCGATGCCGTTGGTTCCTAGAGGTGACAGAGAAAACTGCATTCTGGGAAAAACCTACGAATAGCTAGGAAGTAGCTGTGGTACCTAGAAAAAACATGCTTGAGATTCGAAAACTTCCTACCTCCTTGAGAATTATTCTATGTGTAATTCACTTAGGTATCCTGACGGGCCATTGCCCACTGAGAAGACACCTCTTCCTAATGGGTATTCTATTCTACTAGACCCCTTTTGCCGTTTTTGTGAAATAAAAGAAAAAAACGGCACGGCACTACCTCGCAGAGTGCGATAGGTACGCTAGGTCTAGATTCGAGACTTTTGAAGGAGACGACATCACCAAATCACTCTCCGAGATAAAATGGTCCAAAATCTTGGGGTTTGTGAACAAGTCCAGGAGGTTTATGCAGGATACGTGAGCCGGTCAAGTCCCGGACCTTTAAGGGATGAGGTACGAGTCTACCGAGGTATTTAACCCCTCGGGTCTTGGTCGCACATCATGCATAATATATATAATATATTAAATTCACTAGTTTTCGTCATCCGCTTTACCAATTACGATAATATATATTGATTAATTAGTTAATTAATTGAAAAATGGCAAAAAGAAGGGAAAATTAAAAAAAGGTGGGGTTGAGATAGGAAGTTAGTGTCCGAGTGGATCGAAGTCACGATAGCTCATGTGGTAGCCGCTGCTCTACCACTTGAGCTTTCGTGACCTCGATCCACTCGGACACTAACTTCCCATCTCAACCCCACCTTTTTTTAATTTTCCCTCCTTTTTGCCATTTTTCAAATGTTGACAGTTCAAGGGGTAGAGGAGCGGCGCATCTATCCGAAGGTTGTGGGTTCGAATCCCGCTTGTGACACTTACTTTTTTTATCTAAACTAAAAACCTTAATTAATTGATAGATTATTCAATATCTTGATTTTCCGTTTTCTCTCTCTCTCTCTCTCTCTCTCTCTATCTATCTATCTATCTATCTATCTATCTATCTATATATCTATCTATATATCTATCTATCTATCTATCTATATATCTTACTTATTTTCTTTCCTATTTTTATAGAGTTTCCAACTGCCTGTTTTAAAGTAAGTGTCTTGTACAAGGAACAGTTCTCAGCCCTATCATGTTCTTTATTTACACAGTCATAGTAAATAAACATGCTTTCAGACTAAGTAAAATTTCTCATAATTTGCGGGCATTACAATATATATAAACGGGAAAAGGAGAGGCTGTAAAAGTAACAGCTTATCTAGCAAAGCTCGTCAATTTGAGATATCCTTATCAGAATGGATAAGCAACGAAATGGCGATCTCAAGTAGGAGAAATGCGCAGTCAAAAAATGTAAAAAGTGACTAAAGATATTTAATTGCTTCTCAAATTATTAAGATTGATGTTAGACAAAAAAATAACTATAGAAGCTAAAGTTACTAGGATTAAACATGGGGCAGTATATGCACTATGATGTACAAAGATCTTATGCTGTAAGATCAGATAACGAAAGCATGTTTTGCGCAAAAATAAAAATCGGCTCGATAAAATAAAAGGGTCAAATTTTTATGTTTAAAATAAGGAAACTATACGGTTACACGAAAAAACTAGCTTTTTTGGCACAACCCATTAATAGTGGAAAATACAGTAAAATGACCAGTAAAATGAATTGTTGCTACAAGGTCGAGAACTGCAACTTAGGTGGTTTTAGTTGATTCAATAACAGAAAAATTGGGTGGGTGTTGCAATGATAGGTTCAAAAATAAACCTTCGTGTTATAACAATAATAGAAACCAAAAATAAGTTCTTGCAATCTCCTGTCTTAGGACTAGCTTGCAGCTTGTCTGACAGCCTCAGTGTTATTGCGGAAACTAAGAATTGATAACCATGACAGTAAGAAGTCATGGCACCTAGGAAAATCATTCTTGACCAATGAGGACTTCCAAACCATAGAGATTTATTCAAATATTCTATACCTAATTTAAAGAATAAAATATTCGAGTAAAAGCAATAGTACATTTCTATACAATAGACAAAAGATTAATTGCATCAGGGCAAAACTTCGAATCCAAAACAAAAACATATACTTTCACGTTTGTACATTTATAAGTCTAAATCACCTATTTTTCTACCTATATCTATGTAGGGTTACCTATTGATCTATTTGACTATCTGTGTATAGATTTGATATCTGAACGTCTTCAAGTATTTCTAGGAAATGATCTATAAAGCACTAATACTGCTATAGTTAAACTTGAACAGATGGTCTAATATAAATTTAAAAAATCTTTCGAATACGTTCAGGCACGATAAATCCATTATATATGGTGCCAATACAAGAGCCCAAATTAGGTCTGAGCGGAATTCATCCGGTCTGGCACTTACTTAGACCGTAAAGCATCGTCTCTTTTCTAATGGCGCTTGGCGAATTCTCAAGAATGCTTTGTTTGACGTGGCAAAAAACACCAACGGGTTGACAATTTATTACTAATTGTCTCATAATTCGTCCCAGGGTGTTACAAATCGCGATCGATTTGTCGATATCGACTCTGGACAAAAAGCATCGTTACAATTTTTTTAACTTAATTAGCAGGTAGGATTTTTTAGGAAAAGTAGTGTCAAAGTTAAGAGGGTGCTTTGGACAGCTACATGATTACAGTGAAAATGTAAGATATAAAATATTTTTAAGTTGCCAGGAGATTATTTATTACCAATAATAACAACTCTCTGAGGTGTATCTTCTTTTTAATCTATCAACTCTCTCTCTCGATCACCCTCTCCCTCACTCTTTCTATCTTTCACTCTCTCCTTTCACCATTTTCTCTTTTCACTCTCCCTTTCTCTCTNTCTCTCTTTGTCCTTTCATAACTTTTCCTCTATCTCCCTTTCTCTTTCTATCTTTCACTCTCTCCTTTCATAATTTTCTCTTCTCACCTCCTCTCTCTCTCTCTCTCTCTGCCTTTCATTCTCTCTTTCTCTTTCTCCTTTCATAACTTTTCCTCTATCTCCCTTTCTCTTTCTATCTTTCACTCTCTTCTTTCACAATTTTTCTCCCTCTCTCACCCCTCTCTCTCACTGCCTTTCACTCTCCCTCTCTCTCTCCCTCTATCACCCCATCATCTCTATTTCAGTCTTTTACTCTCTCTCTCTCTCTCCCTCCCATTCTCTTTCTCTCTTTCTATCTATCAATCTCTTTAGCTAACTATCTCTCCGCACGTCACTCAATATCACGATCTCTAAAT